TTCAGGTCATTCGGAGATGTTTTGGGTTGAGTTTTGATCGAATGCGTATTGCGGAAGTTTTGAAGAAACTTAGGCTTGAATTCGATGTGATTTAATGGTTTTAGCGTTGTTAGACGTGTTTTGAGGATTGGAACAAATTTGAATAATGTTTTAAGATGTGTTGGTAACTTTGGTTGATGTCCCGAGGGCCTCGGGGGTGATTTCGGGTGGCTAACGGAAGGAATTTGAAGTTTGAAAATTGCAGGTTTATGGTTGCAGCAGGTGTTTCCGCATCTGCGGAAAGGAGATTGCAGATGCGGTCTCGCAGAAGCGAGCTAGGCCTCGCAAGAGCGGAAATAGGAGCCTGGGTCAGGTTCCGCATAAGCGGAATGTTGGACGCTTCAGCGGGTCCGCCTAAGCGGACATTGTACCGCAGAAGCGGTTTTGAGAGGACCGCAGAAGCGGAGTTCGAGTCACATAAGCGAAGCCTGGGTTTTTAAGTGAAGACCGCATAAGCGGATTTTTGGCCGCAGAAGCGGTCCCGCATAAGCGGAAGCGGGACCGCTTAAGCGAAAAACGCTGTTGGCAGAAAGGTTTAAAGGGTTTATTTCATCCGCGAGCTCCACCATTTTTCCTCCATTATTGAGCGAGCTTGGGAGCTATTGACGCGATTTTGAGAGGGTTTTGACTGGGAATCAATTGGAGGTAAGTCCTATGGTCTAGAAACATCATTTTTATTGAAGAATCTACCTTTAATTCTTAGAAACTTGGGTAAAAATTGGAAGAACTAGGGCTTGATTTTTGGAATGTAAAATGAGAACTTGAAGAGGCATTTGAACCCCGATTTTGATGAATTTGATATGTATGGACTCGTGGCGAGACGAGGAATCCGGTGATGCAAATTTCGTAATTTTTCGAGAAGTGGGCCCGGGGCTCGGGTTTTGCCAACTTCGTGATTTTTGATATTTTTCGAGTCTTTTCGATTGGGTTATGACCCATTTGCCTATTGTGATGTATTCCTTGTGGTTTTGATCAGATTCGATGCGCGAGGAGGTCGATTCGAGGGGAAAAGGCATAGCGAGCTAGACTTTTGGCCGGCTAGAGGTGAGTAATGATTTTAAATGACGTTCCGAGGGTTTGAAAACCCCGGACTTGCACAACTTGGTGCTATGTTGAGATGAGACACGCGTTCCATGACGAGCGCGGGGTCATTTACTATTGGGGACTATGACTTGGTCCAGTCCGAATGATATTTTACCGCGTATTAGCAATGACTTGTTGTTTTCACTATGATTTGGACTTATTGCCATATTTGGGGCTTAGTGCTGACTGTTTGAACTCTTTATGAACTATCATCACTGTTTTCCTCACTGTTTGAGATATTATTTGAACTCAGTCCGTGTGATTTACACTGTTTCATGAACTCTGCTATATTTTTACTCAAACCTTGGGTCCTAACTGATATTTGAACTATTGTTAAGCTGAGCATTATTATTTCTTTACTATTGCCGGAGGGGCTTATGATTATTTTTGGACTGATTGAGGCCGAGGGCCATATGTGAGGATATGCTGAGTGATGTGAGGAGGCTTTCAGGCCTCGAGTGCATTGTGAGGAGGCTTTCAGGCCTCGAGTGTATTGTGAGCAGGATTTCAGGCCTCGTATTGATATTGTTCAGGCTTTCAGGCCTTGTTGATAGCGCTTGGGCTGTAGTAGCCCCTCCGGAGTCTGCACACCCACAAGGAGCGCGGGTACCCCTCTAGAGTGATTAAATATTGAACAGTGGTAACAATGACACTGTTACACGCGTTTGGTCAGGTAACAATGACTGACCAGTCAGGTAACAATGACTGACCAGTGGTAACAATGGCACTGTAATACGCATTTGGTCAGGTAACAATGGCTGACCGGTCAGGTAACAATGGCTGACCATACTTGAGCATACTTGTTTTATTAATTGTTTTCAAAGAGATTTTGTTTCTATATTTCACTGGTTTCTACTGTTTATCTGATGTTGCTGCTTGAGATAGCATTATATGTGCCCTTGTGGGATTTCATATTCTCAGTCATTATTTAATTTTATTACTCACTGGGTCGGAGTACTCACATTACTTCCTGCACCATGTGTGCAGAGACAGGCACTGCTGAGTTTGTACCCGAGCGCTGATCTCCTTCCAGACCAGGCGGACTAGGAGAGACGAGGTAGCTGTCGACGTCCACAGCCCCGTTTTCTTCCTTATCTTCTGCATATTTTATTCATCTTGAAACTATGTTTCCACGCTTATAGTATTTTCACCAACTCGGTAGTAGCTCGTGACTTGTGACACCCCGATCATCGGGCTAAGTTTGGGATGGTTTTTCCCCGTTATGTTACGTTTATTTCCGCACTTATGATTAATCAATATCTATGGTTTAACCCTATTATGCTAAGAAATTGTCAAAAGCAGTGTTGATTGTTCCGTTGGCTGGCCTTGTCTTCACGAGAGGCGCCATCACGACCGGGTGGGAATTGGGTCGTGACAAGTTGGTATCAGAGCCTAGGTTACTAGGTCTCACGAGTCATAAGCAGGTTTAGTAGAGTCTCGCGGATCGGTACGGAGACGTCTGTACTTATCCTCGAGAGGCTGCAGAACCCTTAGGAAAACTTCACATTCTTGAAATTCTTGTCGTGCAATTTTGTTGATCCGGGAACTAAATTTCTGTGTTCTATCCTCTCGCAGATGGCGAGGACCCGGCTATAGGACGAGACGGAAGCCCACCGGTACCACCTACTGAGGGCACTAGAGGTCGTGGGCGCGGTCGTGGTCGTGGTAGGGGCAGAGCCGCGAGGGCAGCACCTGTTGCTCCACCAGTTGCTCCGGCTCAGGATCAGGCCCTAGCTGCAGACATTCCTACAGCACCTGTACAGGCACCGGCAGTGCCCATTGTGATTCCTGGTCTCCAGGAGACCTTGGCTCAGATACTATCGGTTTGCAGTGGCCTAGCCCAGGTAGTTTCAGCCACTATTACTGCGGCTACCTCTCAGGCCGGGGGAGGCAGTCAGACCCCCACCGCTCACACACCGGAGCAGGTTATGCAGGGTTTACAGACACCGGGAGCAGCTCCAGCTCAGCCGGTTGCACCAGCAGCACCAATTGCACCAGTCGTACCAGTTCAGGACTTTGTGGTCCCAGTTATGCCAGACGATGAGCAGCGTCGTCTTGAGAGGTTTAGTAGGCTCCAGCCTCCATTTTTTAGTGGTGCTCAGGGCGAGGATGCCCAGGGATTTCTGGACAAGTGTCAGCGTATGCTTCGGACAACAGGGATTTTGGAGACCAGCGGGGTAGCATTCACCGCATTTCAGTTCACTGGGGCTGCCTTCACATGGTGGGAGTCGTATGAGCGGCGTAGGCCGGCAGGTGCAGCGCCTTTGTCATGGAAGGAGTTCTCCACTATCTTTCTGGAGAAGTGGGTACCACGGTCTCAGAGGGAGGAGCTGCGTAGACAGTTCGAGTGGCTTCGATAGGGAGACATGACTGTGACCCAGCATGAGGCGAGATTTTTTGAGTTGGCCCGTCATGCCTCGTGGATAGTTCAGACCGACAGAGAGAGGATCAAGAGGTTTGTAGATGGACTTAACTATCACCTGTGTGTTCTGATGACTCAAGAGAGAGTTCTGGGTATTTCCTTTGAGGATGCAGTTGATATTGCTCGTGATATTGAGATGGCTCGCCGTCACGACAGAGAGGAGAGGGAGGCCAAGAGGCCTCGAGGTTCTGGTAGCTTCAGTGGTGCTCCGTCTAGGGGTCAGTTCCAGCATAGCAGAGGTCGTTCATTTAGGCCTCCTCAGTCAGCTCGCTCTGAGTATCGTGGGTCATCTTCCAGCCGAGGTCATCAGGGATATCAGTAGAGTCAGCCATCCCTCGGCGCTCTTCCAGCTCAAGGTTCATCACGAGCTCCATCTGTTCAGGGTTCCTCTAGACCGAGTGCGTCAGCCAGTCACTCTGATGTGCGAGGTTCCCTTCAGTCCCATTCCCCAGCACTCGGGAGCTGTTATGAGTGCGGGGAGGTTGGGCACATGTGGAGGCAGTGTCCTCGGTGCTGTGGTAGTGAGTCTCAATAGAGGGGTCAGCCCTCGTCTTCTGGCCCATCTTCTTCAGCATCCGCCCTGCCAGCTAGGGGTGAGAGTCAGGCAGCTAGGGGTCGCCCTAGAGGGGGAGGCCGATCGGGCGGTGGCCAGGCACGATTCTATGCTCTCCCAGACAGGAGAGACGCTATTGCATCATATGCTGTTATCACAGGTATTATCTCAGTCTGCCACAAGGATGCCTCTGTCTTATTTGATCCCGGTTCTACCTATTCCTATGTGTCTTCATATTTTGCTCATCACCTGGGTACGACCCGTGGGTGCCTTGCTTTACCTGTGCATGTATCTACCCCGGTGGGTGATACTATTGTTGTAGACCATGTGTATCGGTCTTGCCTAGTGACTATTGGGGGTCTGGAGACCCGAGTTGATTTGTTGCTGTTGAGCATGGTTGACTTCGACGTTATTCTGGGCATGGATTGGTTATCTCCGTGCCATGCTATTCTGGACTGTCATGCTAAGACAGTTACGTTGGCTATACCGGGTGTTCCGAGGATTGAGTGGCGTGGTATGACTGACTATGTTCCCAGCAGGGTGATCTCTTTCCTAAAGGCCCAGCGGATGGTTGGGAAGGGTTGTCTATCGTATTTGGCGTTTGTGAGAGATGTTGGGGCTGAGACTCCTAGTCTTGATTCTGTGCCCGTTGTGAGGGACTTACCTGATATGTTTCCAGCAGACCTGCCGGCCATGCCGCCGGACAGGGACATTCATTTTGGTATTGATCTGGTGCCGGGCACTCAGCCCATTTCTATTCCTCCATATCGCATGGCACCAGTAGAGTTGAAAGAACTAACGGATCAGCTTCAGGAGCTCCTAGATAAGGGGTTCATTCGTCCGAGTGTGTCACCGTGGGGTGCACCAGTCTTGTTTGCAAAGAAAAAGGATGGCACAATGAGAATGTGCATTGACTACAGGCAATTGAACAAGGTGACAGTGAAGAACAAGTATCCCCTGCCCCGTATTGATGATTTGTTTGACCAGCTCCAGGGGGCGAGGGTATTCTCCAAGATTGACCTCCGTTCAGGCTATCACCAGCTGAAGATTAGGGACTCAGATATTATGAAGACTGCTTTCCGGACGAGATATGGGCACTATGAGTTTCTAGTTATGTCTTTTGGGTTGACTAACGCCCCAGCAGCATTCATGCACTTGATGAACAGTGTATTTCGGCCGTATCTGGATTCATTTGTGATTGTGTTTATTGATGATATCCTGGTGTATTCGCGTGGTCAGGAGGAGCACGCGCAGCATTTGAGGGTGGTGTTGCAGAGGCTGAGAGAGGAGAAGCTCTATGCAAAGTTCTCCAAGTGTGAGTTCTGGCTTAGTTTTGTGGCTTTTATGGGACACGTGGTGTCCAGTGATGGTATTCAGGTTGATCCTAAGAAGATAGAGGCGGTTCAGAGTTGGCCTAGACCGTCCTTAGCCACGGAGATTCGGAGTTTCCTCGGTTTGGCAGGTTATTATCGCCGGTTCGTCCAGGGTTTTTCATCCATTGCTTTACCCTTGACCAGGTTGACTCAGAAGGGTGCACCATTTGTGTGGTCGGATGAGTGCGAGGAGAGCTTTCAGAAGCTCAAGACAGCTCTGACCACGGCTCCAGTGTTGGTATTGCCATCAGCTTCAGGTTCTTACACTGTGTATTGTGATGCTTCGAGAGTTGGGATCGGATGTGTGTTGATGCAGGAGGGTAGAGTTATTGCATATGCATCTCGTCAGTTGAAGCCCCATGAAAAGAACTACCCTGTTCATGATTTGGAGTTAGCTGCTATAGTTCATGCTTTGAAGATTTGGAGGCACTACTTATATAGCGTATCTTGTGAGATGTATACGGATCATCGCAGCCTTCAGCATTTGTTCAAACAGAAGGATCTTAACTTGAGGCAGCGGAGGTGGCTTGAGTTACTCAAGGATTATGATATTACCATTTTGTACCACACGGGGAAGGCCAATGTGGTGGCCGATGCTTTGAGCCGGAAAGCGGTCAGCATGGGTAGTTTGGCATACATTCCAGTTGGGGAGAGGCCCTTTGCAGTTGATGTCCAGGCTTTGGCCAATCAGATGGTGAGGTTAGATATTTTGGAGCCTAGTCGGGTGTTAGCTTGTATGGTTTCTCGGTCCTCCTTGTATGGCCGTATTAGAGAGCGCCGGTATGATGACCCGCATTTGCTTGTCCTTAAGGACAGGGTTCAGCACGATGATGCCAGGGATGCGACTATTGATGATGCTGGTGTGTTGAGGATGCAGGGCCGGATTTGTGTGCTCAATGTGGATGGGCTGCGGGAGTTGATATTAGAGGAGGCCCACAGCTCGTGGTATTCCATTCATCCGGGTGCTGCGAAGATGTATCAGGATTTGAGGCAGCACTACTGGTGGAGGAGAATGAAGAAAGATATTGTGAGTTATGTAGCTCGGTGTCTCAACTGTCAGCAGGTCAAATATGAGCATCAAAGGCCCGGAGGTGTACTTCTGCGGATGGATATTCCGGAGGGGAAATGGGAGAGGATTACTATGGATTTTGTGAGTGGTCTCCCTCGTAACTCGAGGAAGTTTGATTCGATTTGGGTGATTGTGGATCTGTTGACCAAGTCCGCGCACTTCATTCTGGTATGTACCACCTATTCTTCAGAGCGGCTGGCAGAGATTTTCATCCGGGAGATTGTTCGGTTGCATGGGGTCCCAGTTTCTATCATCTCAGATAGGGGTACTCAGTTTACTTCCCAGTTTTGGAGGACTTTTCAGCGAGAGTTGGGTACACAGGTAGAGTTGAGTACCGCATTTCATCCTCAGACAGACGGGCAGTCCGAGCGACCATTCAGATATTGGAGGACATGTTGCGTGCCTGTGTTATTGATTTTGGAGGTTCTTGGGCTGAGTTCTTGCCACTTGCAGAGTTTGCTTACAACAACAGCTATCAGTCCAGTATTCAGATGGCGCCGTATGAGGCCTTATATGGGAGACGGTGCAGATCTCCAGTCGGTTGGTTTGAGACCGACGAGGCTAGACTATTGGGGACAGAGTTGGTGCAGGATGCCTTAGAGAAGGTGAAGGTGATCCAGGAGAGACTTCGTACAGCTCAGTCGCGTCAGAAGAGTTATGCGGACCGGAAGGTTCGAGATGTATCTTACATGGTGGGCGAGAAGGTTTTGTTGAAGGTTTCGCCTATGAAGGGCGTTATGAGATTTGGAAAGAAAGGAAAGTTGAGTCCACGGTTCATTAGTCCTTTTGAGATACTTAGGAGAGTTGGGGAGGTGGCCTTCATGCTTGCTTTGCCACCCATCTTGTCGGGAGTTCACCCGGTATTTCATGTTTTTATGCTCCGGAAGTATGTTGGAGACCCGACCCATGTGTTAGACTTCAGCACGGTTCAGTTGGATGATGACTTGACTTATGATGTGGAGCCACTGGCTATTTTGGGTCGTCAGGTTCGAAAGTTGAGATCAAAGGATATAGCTTCGGTGAAGGTGCAGTGGAGAGGTCGGCCCGTGGAGGAGGCTACTTGGGAGACCGAGCGGGAGATGCGGAGCAGATATCCTCACTTGTTTGAGACTCCAGGTATGTTCCTTGACCCGCTCGAGGACGAGCGTTTGTTTTAGTTGGGGAAGATGTGACGACCCGGCCCGTCGTCACGTGAGTTACCGCCCCGTCTTCCCCATATTATGTTCCTCTATGCTTCATTATCGGTATTTGGGGTAATCGAGTTGGATTGGTTTGGTTTTGGTAGGAAATGAGACATTTAGTCTCTTTAAGGAAAGCTTGTTTTGGAAAAGTAAACCGGAAGTTGACTATACAGTTAGAGGGCTCGGATGTGAATTTCGGTGATTCGGTTAGCTTTGGGGGATGATTTGTGACTTAGGAGTGCGATCGAAATTGAATTTGGAGGTCCGGTGTAGAATTAGGCTTGAATTGGCGAAGGTTGAATTTTGGTGAACTCCTGTTGGTAGGTGAGATTTTGATCAGAGGGTCGGAATTGAATTCCGAGAGTTTCAGTAGCTCCGTTAGGCGATTTTGGATGTGTGTGCAAAATTTCAGGTCATTCGGAGATGTTTTGGGTTGAGTTTTGATCGAATGCGTATTGCGGAAGTTTTGAAGAAACTTAGGCTTGAATTCGATGTGATTTAATGGTTTTAGCGTTGTTAGACGTGTTTTGAGGATTGGAACAAATTTGAATAATGTTTTAAGATGTGTTGGTAACTTTGGTTGATGTCTCGGGGGCCTCGGGGGTGATTTCGGGTGGCTAACGGAAGGAATTTGAAGTTGGAATTGTAGGTTTTTGGTTGCAGCAGGTGTTTCTGCATTTGCGGAAAGGAGATCGCAGATGCGGTCTCGTAGAAGCGAGCTAGGCCTCGCAGGAGCGGAAATAGGAGCTCGGCTCAGGTTCCGCATAAGCGGAATGTTGGACGCTTCAGCAGGTCCGCCTAAGCGGACATTGTACCGCAGAAGCGGTTTTGAGAGGACCGCAGAAGCGGAGTTCGAGTCGCATAAGCGAAGCCTGGGTTTTTAAGTGAAGACCGCATAAGCGGATTTTTGGCCGCAGAAGCGGTCCCGCATAAGCGAAAGCGGGACCGCTTAAGCGAAAAACGTTGTTGGCAGATAGGTTTAAAGGGTTTATTTCATCCGCGAGCTCCACCATTTTTCCTCCATTGTTGAGCGAGCTTGGGAGCTATTGACGCGATTTTGAGAGGGTTTTGACTGGGAATCAATTGGAGGTAAGTCCTATGGTCTAGAAACATCATTTTTATTGAAGAATCTACCTTTAATTCTTAGAAACTTGGGTAAAAATTGGAAGAACTAGGGCTTGGTTTTTGGAATGTAAAATGGGAACTTGAAGAGGCATTTGAACCCCGATTTTGATGAATTTGATATGTATGGACTCGTGGCGAGACGAGGAATCCGGTGATGCAAATTTCGTAATTTTTCGAGAAGTGGGCCCGGGGCTCAGGTTTTGCCAGCTTCGTGATTTTGATATTTTTCGAGTCTTTTCGATTGGGTTATGACACATTTGCCTATTATGATGTATTCCTTGTGGTTTTGATCAGATTCGACGCGCGAGGAGGTCGATTCGAGGGGAAAAGGCATAGCGAGCTAGACTTTTGGCCGGCTAGAGGTGAGTAATGGTTTTAAATGACGTTCTGAGGGTTTGAAAACCCCGGACTTGCACAACTTGGTGCTATGTTGAGATGAGACACGCGTTCCATGACGAGCGCGGGGTAATTTACTATTGGGGACTGTGACTTGGTCCAGTTCGAATGATATTTTACCGCGTATTAGCAATGACTTGTTGTTTTCACTGTGATTTGGACTTATTGCCATATTTGGGGCTTAGTGCCGACTGTTTAAACTCTTTATGAACTATCATCACTGTTTTCCTCATTGTTTGAGATATTATTTGAACTCAGTCCGTGTGATTTACACTGTTTCATGAACTCAGCTATATTTTTACTCAAACCTTGGGTCCAAACTGATATTGGAACTACTGTTGAGCTGAGCATTATTGTTTCTTTACTATTGCCCGAGGGGCTTATGATTATTTTTGGACTGATTGAGGCCGAGGGCCATATGTGAGGATGTGCTGAGTGATGTGAGGAGGCTTTCAGGCCTCGAGTGCATTGTGAGGAGGCTTTCAAGCCTCGAGTGTATTGTGAGCAGGCTTTCAGGCCTCGTATTGATATTGTTCAGGCTTTCAGGCCTTGTTGATAGCGCTTGGGCTGTAGGAGCCCCTCCGGAGTCTGCACACCCACAGTGAGCGCGAGTACCCATCTAGAGTGATTAAATATTGAACAGTGGTAACAATGACACTGTTACACGCGTTTGGTCAAGTAACAATGACTGACCAGTCAGGTAACAATGACTGACCAGTGGTAACAATGGCACTGTAATACGCGTTTGGTCAGGTAACAATGGCTGACCGGTCAGGTAACAATGGCTGACCATACTTGAGCATACTTGTTTTATTAATTGTTTTCAAAGAGATTTTCTTCCTATATTTCACTAGTTTCTACTGTTTATCTGATGTTGCTGCTTGAGATAGCATTATATGTGCCCTTGTGGGATTTTATGTTCTCAGTCGTTATTTAATTTATTACTCACTGGGTCGGAGTACTCACATTACTTTCTACACCATGTGTGCAGAGACAGGCACAGCTGAGTTCGCACCTGAGCGTTGATCTCCTTCCAAACCAGGCGGACTAGGAGAGACGAGGTAGCTGTCGATGTCCACAGCCCCGTTTTCTTCCTTATCTTCTGCATATTTTATTCATCTTCAGACTATGTTTTCAGACTTGTAGTATTTTCACCAACTCGGTAGTAGCTCGTGACTTGTGACACCCCGATCATCGGGCTGAGTTTGGGATGGTTTTTCCCCGTTATGTTACGTTTATTTCCGCACTTATGATTAATCAGTATCTATGGTTTAAACCTATTATGCTAAGAAATTGTCAAAAGCAGTGTTGATTGTTCCGTTGGCTGGCCTTGTGTTCACGAGAGGCGCCATCACGACCGGGTGGGAATTGGGTCGTGATAGTTGGAGTCCATCCTAATAATGAGCGTATCTCACATGTGTTGAAACCTATTGAATTCAACTAACAAAAGCATGAAATTGCAAGGGATTACAGAACAATATCATGATAGTACATTATCAGGGATGCATAAATAACAAAGAAACTGAACCATGCTTACAGAATTTAAACACCATTAACACTAGAATACATACAGATAAACAAAGGGAAAATAGTTAACATTTCAAGAGTTAAGGGCACTAACAAGTAGCAAAATTAAACGAGCAAAAGAAAGAGTTTAGAATACTGGTAACAAGAACCCAGATCTCCAATGTTTCAGAGTTCACAAGAGCCTCGAAAGGGCTACGAGCAATGCTTGCACCAGAGGAGGTTGATAATATTATGGCCTTGGCTTTCAGCCGGCCAAGGATTCAGGAGTCTCATAAAATATTAGGTGTCTCAGAAGAAGTGAACAAAATGAGAGAAGGATATAGTGTGTGTAATAGCAGTAAAAACTCGATCTGTCCAAAGGGGAAACTGGGGAGGGGTTTATATAGTAGTCAAATTCAACACGCAAACAAGGAAACATAATTAATCGAACATAAATAAGGAAATAGATGCATGCAAAATCAATTAGAATCAATTTAAGAGAGAATCAAGCAAACCCTAGTTCAAAATGGAAAGCACAGATTGTTGAAATTCTCAGTGAATCGGGCCATATAGCCTGATAGTGAGTGCATATAGACGAAATATCGTCTAAATCACAAAGGTTGAAGGCGGTCAAACCCGATTTGTGGACTGGTACTTGCCAAAATTGGGCAAAGTACTATGTAACACCATAGTCTTGTAGCAAACGGTGAGATTATCCTTAAAAGGTAAGAGTATCGTAGTAAGAATCCATGATTTGATCAGATTCGAAAGAGATTTGAGTGAGGTGGCTAGGATTTGAGAGGGTAGAGTAGAGAGGATTTTAGGGCGGCGATATCAGAGAAATGGGGTTAGGGTTTCGGTGAGGGGATATAAGAAAGGTAAGGGAATTATTATGGGCCGTTGATCATTTGAGATCAACAGCCAGGATCGAAATGAGAGTGGGGCGGGTTTATAACGGGTCGTGACCGGATTTTTAAAGGGGTTGGTTGGTTTGCTGAACAGTTTGATGGAGATGGGCCAGCTGTTTTACGCCTGGTTTGGTTCGAAATTAGCAAAAATTGGGCTAGGAGTTAAACACACGAAATTGTTTAACTAAAAATAATTAATAAATAATAAAATACTACTTATGTAACAAAATGACCGTAAATAATAACTTAACATTATAAAAACATAAAAATGCTATTGTAGCATGAATAATGCTATAATTGTAATTATGCATGACATATAGGCTATTATTGCAAAATTATGTAAATAGCTTAAAAATACAAATATAATTATGAAAATGAATTTAAAAATATTATGAAACATATATGCGGATGCAAAATAGTAATTTAGATGATTAAGTCATCATAAATAATTTAAAGGGAAAATTAATAAATATTCAAGTAATTACAATGCAAGAAAAAATAATTTTAAAGCTCTAAAATTGTGGAATATACATGTATAGTTCTTGTAAATTAAATAATAATGCAAAATGATATTTTGAATACATACATATATATATATATATATATATATATATATATATATATATATATATATATATATATATATTATACTATTTTGAAAAGTATGAGGGCAAAATTGGGTATTAACATTCCCGTATTTTTTGATAAGAAAGAACAAGAAAAGAATTATCTCTTAGAATATTCATAAACTGCTGTTATGCAATTATTTTAGAATTGTTCTTAGTTTCTTTATGTTTTCCACGCATTTAGAATCTTTGCTTGTAATGTACATTTTATTAAAGTTTCATCCCTTGTCGTTGAGACTCACTAAGTACAACGGATTGTACTGACGTTATCTTTTCGGAACCCGCGTTGATCTGCGGTACAACGTAGGAACTGGTCTTGCAGGCGAGCAGGCTACAGGTTAGGACTTCCCTCACTTCTAGTGCTATTGGTGAGCTCCGCTTATGTTCATGGAGTATTCCTTTGAGTCGTCATTATTTAGCTATTTCTTTGTTTACTTGGAGAACTGGCCACGAAATCTCATGTCCTAAGCAGTGCGTCAATTTATCAATAGAGGCTTCATAAACACAGTCGCTGGGTTAAGATTCAAGGTTCTTGATAATAACTTTGTAGTATTTCAGTAGTTACTACGAACAAAGTATTGAAGTTGGTTTATTTTAGATATTCAAATTAATTAAAAGTATTTGATTAAAGTATTGCCTTGTTCCATACAATGTTTGAAGTTATAATAGTTTTGATAAGCACAAATGGTTCGCTTGGTTGAATTTAGCGATTGGGTGCCGCTCACGACTTGTTTAGAAAATGGGTAGTGACAATCTCTGTCATCCATTCAAATTTGGTGATAGCCATACCTTAAGTCTAGATTTAAAAAGTATTTGGAACCCTCTAGTTCATCTAATAGCTCCTCTATAACAGGGATTGGAAATTTGTCCTTGATAGTGTTGTTGTTTAACTCTCTATAATCAGTAAAAATTCTCCAAGTACCATCTTTCTTTTTAACCATGACTATAGGAGATGAGTAAGGAATTACACTTAGTCTGATTACTCCAGAGTCTAGCATTTCCTGGATCATCTTTTCAATCTCATCCTTTTGTGTAGCTGGATACTTGTAGGATCATACATTAACTGGAGAGACTCCCTTTTTCAACACTATTCTGTGATCATGGCTTCTGTGAGGAGACAATTGTGTAGGTGTTTTGAAGAGATCTGAATATTGATCTAACAATTTCTGTAGGTCATTAGGAACCTTCAGCTACCGAGAAAGAAGGCACAGACCCTCTTGCTCATTCGTCTATATGTGAGCCACAAGCATCATGCTTAATTGGCCATACTAATTCAACAATTTCCCTATTCTTTGATCCCCAATTAATCTAGACTCCCTTGGTTGGCTTCCCATCAATGAGACCTTATTACCTCCACTACTAAATTTCATTCAGCTTCCTAAAATTCCACCTTATGTCACCCAAGGTAATGAGCCATTGAATGCCCAGAACCACATCAACTCCCCCTTGGCATTACCAACATATCTGACCTAAACTCCACACCCTGCATTTTCCAAGCCACATCCTTGCTCATTAGTGAGCTGTTAATATTGTTCCCATTAGCTACTGTTACAAAGAAGGATGGGATTCTGTCTAACCTGCACCCCAATCTCTTGGAAATATCTAGATCTATAAAGTTGTGTGTCGACCCTGAGTCGATCAAAGCATGTACCACATTTCCTTTTACTCCTCCTTTTACCCCCATGGTCCTGTAGTCAATGGTGCCATCAAGAGCATGTACTGACATTTGAGGACGTAATGCAGACTCATTACCCTCAGTTAGCTCATCCAAGTTTTCTTCCAACTCCCATTCCTCCACATCTTCATCCACTTCAAGAATCACTAGTTGCTTCTTCTTTTTACAGTTATGCCCAAGAACATATTTCTTATCACACCAATAGCATAACCCTTGTACTATTTTCTCGTCCATCTCTGCAGGGGTCAATCTCCTTGAAGTTTTTAATGCAGGACGGCCTGAGTTAGTCAAGAGTTTGCTTCCTTCTATTCCTCTGCTACTACTATTCCTCGCGTTTTGGGATGACCCGACCTGTCGTCTCATGTGTTACTGCTCTGTTTCCCCCATTGTATGCTTCTTCATGTTTTATTATCAGTGTTTGGTGTGTTAGAGTGGATTTTGATTGGTTTTGGTAGGAAATGAGACACTTAGTCTCTTTAAGGAAGGTTTAAGTTGGAAAAAGTCAACCGGACGTTGACTGATGACTTAGAAGGTTCGGATGTGAGTTCCGGTGATTCGGTTAGCTTCGGGAAGTGATTTGTGACTTAGGAGTGTGATCAGAATTTATTTTGGAGGTCCGGTGTAGAATTAGGCTTGAACTGGCGAAGTTAGTATTTTGGCGAATTCCGGTTTATGGGTGAGAATTTGATCCGAGGGTTGGAATGGAATTCCGAGAGTTGTTGTAGCTTCGTTAGGTGATGCTAGATATGTGTGCAAATTTTCAGGTCATTCGGACGTCGTTTGGTCGGGTTTTTGATCGAAAGTGCATTTCGGAAGTTTTTGAAGAACTTAGGCTTGAATCCGATGTGATTTAATGGTTTTTGCGTTGTTTGATGTGTTTTGATGATTGGAGCAAGTTTGAATAATGTTTTAAGATGTGTTGGTGCTTTTGGTTGAGGTCCCGAGGGCCTCGGGGTGATTTCGGGTGGCAATCGGAAGGAAATTGAAGTTGGAAATTGCAGGTTCTGGCTGCAGCAGGTATTTTCGCATCTGCGGAAAGGCAACCGCAGATGCGGTTGCGCGGAAGCGGAGAAGGCTTCGCAGGTGCGAAAGAGGGTGAGATTGAGCAGTTCCGTAGAAGTGGAAGTCGTTTCGCTTAAGCGAGTCCGCAGAAGCGGATATGAGGTCGCAGAAGCGGTTTGACCTGGGGGTGAAGTTTCGCGGAAGCGAGAAATTTTGTCGCAGAAGCGACCCTTGTGATTTAATCAAATTCCGCTTAAGCGGACAAAAACCGCAGAAGCGGTCACGCGGAAGCGGGAGTGGGGACCGCAGAAGCGGAAACCCCTGAAGGCCAGTAGGAGTTTATATTCATTTTTGCTCCGCGAGGGTTATGTTATTTCCACCATTTTTGAGCGAGCTTTGAGAGCTTTGAGGCGATTTTTGAAGAGGGATTCAAGGAGGAATGATTAGAGGTAAGTTCCTTGGCTTAAATTCACGAGATTATGTTAGATTTAACATGGAAATTGGTTGAAATTCATCAAAAGGGGTAAAGCTAGGGCTTGAGTTTTTGATATTTCAAATTGGGATTTGATAGGTCATTTGAGCTCGGATTTGGGAGTTCTTGGTATGTATGGACTCGTGGCGAGACGAGGAATCCGGTAATGTGAGTTTTGTAATTTTTCGAGAAGTGGGCCCGGGGCTCGGGTTTTGCTAGTTTCGAGATTGTTGCTATTTTTCGATTGTTTTCGATTGGGTATTGTTCCCTTAGCATATTGTGATGTATTCGCTCTGATTTTGGTTAGATTCAACGCGCGTGGAGGCCGATTTGATGGGACAAGGGCTTCACGAGCTAGAGATTTCACCGGTTCGAGGTGAGTAATGATTGTAAATGATATCCTGAGGGTTTGAAACCCCGGATTTGCACGTCGTAGTGCTATATTGAGGTGACTTGCACGCCGGACAGTGAGCTTGGGGTAGAGCACCGTTGGGGATTGTGACTTGGTTCGTCCCGATTGTTGCTTTTACCGCGTTTTTGATTGAAACTTATTTGATATTATCATAACTTGGGCTGATTGCCATACTTGGGGCTTATTGCCGACTGTTTAAAATCCTTGTGAGCTATCATCACTCTTTTCCTCACTATTTGAAAAATATTATTTGAACTCAGTCCATTTGAATTACACTGTTTCATGAACTCAACTATATTTTTACTCAACCTTGAGTTTTAACTGATGTTAACTATTGTTTGAGCTGAGCATTATTGTCTTTACTGATGCTTGAAGGGCTTATGATTATTTTTGGACTAATTGAGGCCGAGCGCCATATGTGAGGATATGTCGAGTGATGTGAGGAGGCTTTCAGGCCTCGAGTGATATGGGAGGAGGCTTTCAGGCCTCGAGTGATATGTGAGGAGGCTTTCAGGCCTCAAGTGTATTGTGAGAAAGCTTTCAGGCCTCATGTTGATATGTTCAGGCTTTCAGGCCTTATGATGATATAGCGCTTGGGCTGTAGGAGCCCCTCCGGAGTCTGCACACCCACAGTGAGCACGGGTACCCATTTAGAATTGGACAGTGGTAACAATGACACTGTCATACGCATTTTGGTCAGGTAACAATGACTGACCAGTCAGGTAACAATGGCTGACCAGTGGTAACAATGGCACTGTAATACGCATTTTGGTCAGGTAACAATTGCTGACCGGTCAGGTAACAATGACTGACCGGGAACATAAATCATGCCCGAGGGGCCGGTACTGTTTTGAGATATTGCCCGAGGGGCGAACTTTTATGTGCTCATCTTGCATACTTATTTGCCTCTATACCTATCATATCGTGGTATTTGTGCCCGAGGGGCGGATTTTCTGTGTGTATTAGCACTAACTGTTTTGAAAGCGTTTTCGTAATCACTGAAAAGATCATTTTTTAAAGGAGATTTGAACTGAGCCAAGGTATTTCTAATGATTTCACAGATTTCACTGTTTTTCTCAAAAAATTGCACCCGGCTTCTGTATAGCATGTTGGTTGCTTTACGTGATTTCTTGCTGCTCAGTTATTATTTACTTTTATTACTCATTGAGTTGGAGTACTCACTTTACTCCCTGCACCTCGCGTGCAGATGCAGGTATTATACACCCGGTAGCGGGTTTTGAGCTGGTTGAAGGTATTGCTATTGTAGTTGAGCAAGGTGACCGCCATCGTTCACGGCACCGGACTTTGTCTTTTGATTTCAGATTCTGTTTAGTATATTATTGGCTCTGTAGCAGTGTTCAGACTTCCTTAGATGCTCGTGACTTGTGACACCCCGGTCGGGCTGTGTTGGGTTGTAAACTTCGTTAATTAATGTCCTTAAGTCGTATTTTGCTATTCATTTATGTTTAACTACTTTGAAATGGACTATTTGGGTTAGTTGGCTGGCCTTGTCTTCACGAGAGGCGCCATCATGACTAGTGCGGGGTTTTGGGTCGTGACAAGTTGGTATCAGAGCCTAGGTTACTAGGTCTCACGAGTCATGAACAGGTTTAGTAGAGTCTCGCGGATCGGTACGGAGACGTCTGTATTTATCCATGAGAGGCTGCAGAACCTTTAGGAAAACATCACATCCTTGAATTCGTATCGTGCGTCCTTGATTCAGCTTGAAAAGAAACTCTTGAAATTCCTTCTGTGCATTTGTATGCGCGCATAGGCGCTCAGTATCAGATGTGCCTTGATGGCTTGTGTTCCCGATCAAGGGGCGAGATGTAATCTCCGTGAGTTTATGTTGGGCCAGTCTGGAGGACTTGAGGCCGGATATTTGCCTATGGCTTGAGCACCGAGGTGCTGATTGTGTGAGCATGTGTTTTGAGCTTATATGTTCGGTATTGTCCCTATTAGCCGAAATGGCGGTTGGATATCCATGTGATGAGTATGTTAGTACTGCGAGATGTATCTATATGACTTGGTAGTGACGAAGAAGTCAGCTGGATAATAGATGAACTCTTAAGTGTTCGTTTCCTATTGTGATTTGATGTGTAGCCCGAGTATGGGCGTGTGAAGAATATTTTCGTGTCCCCCATTTGGGGAGTGAAGTGCGTTACATGTGGCAGTATGAGTTCAGACTCAGGGAGACTAAACGACTGTGCAATGTGTATGACGATGGAAGGTATGCTGAAATACTAAATTGAGGCGAAGCAGGTGGGTTATCTCCTGTGGAGTGTTCTTAAGTGGTATGATCCTTATGTGTACGTTAGAAGATCTCGTGTGTAATTGAAGGGTACGTGTTGAAATTTGAAAATTCGGGTCGCCCAAGAGGGTGGACTCAACTGATGTGGGGATGAATGCGAGATTTGTAGAGGATTACAGTACTAGATGATCTGTGTTTTCACAAACTTGTACAGGATTTGAGTTTAATCTCACTATGGCATTGTGGCATCATTAGAGTAAAAGTGTTATAAGTCGTTGAGTGTGTCTTGATATATGGCATCGAGCCAAGTTGGGGAGTTTGCTATTAATTAGCTAATTGTACGGTCATGCGCTATGTTGGCTTCAGTTGGAGCGTGCGGGTGAGTCAGCTATGACTAGAGTAAAGGAAAATTTTTGACAAAGGTTGTATTATGTTCCATAGGGTATG